CCGGGGTACTGTGTTCTTCAGCTAATACCTTGCCCAAGGTCAGTTTTATGGATGGAAACAGGCTGTGGCTTTCCTAAGGATTCTGAAGGCCAGGATCCGTGGCTCAGGCCACAGACTAGCTGGAGGGAGGTAGTAAGTTCTGACGGACCTTCCTTGCCTTTCTCCACCACCCCTCTGGGAGCCAACAGCAGAGACTCTGTCCCCTGCCCTCTCAGAGCCACTTTGCAGAAGGGTAAAGTCTGAGAGGAAGCCAGAGTGGTGGGCACCAGGAGGCCCAGGGCTTTTGGCCGAGCAGGAACGGTTCCAACAGTGTCTCTGGGGATGGTCCCATCAGAGCTGGCAGGGCGGCCCTTGGGCGTCCGTGGCTTTTTGAGACACGCTGTCACCATACAGCCCTGGCTGGCCTGGAATTTACTATGTAGACCAGGCTGGCCTGGAACTCACAGAGATCCACCTGCCTCTGCCTCCTGAGCTCTGGGTGAAGGGGTGAACCACCACGCCCGGGCTTTTCCTCCATTTACACAGGTTCCAGGGGTCAAACCAAAGCCTGAATATTTAGAAACGTAACTGATCTTCTACAAGAAAAGTTTGCCAACATTTCTTCATACAGTCTTATGTCTTTTAAGGAAAATACTGAGAGAAACTGGAGGGATGGCTCAGCGGTTAAGAGCACTGGCTGCTCTTGCAGAGGACCCGGGTTCACTTCCCAGCATCCACACAGCAGCTAACCACTGTAACTCCAGTTCCAGGGAATCCAGTATCTTCTTTTGGCATCTGTGGGCAGTGCATGCATGTGATGTACTTACATAAAGGCAAAGCACTCATACTTTAACATAAAACATAATTTTTTAAAAAACATAAAAATAACAATTTATTTAAAAAAAAAAAACAGTTGAGGGCTGGTGAGATGGTGGGGAAGGGCAATTGCTTCTGAGCTGCCAGGACCCACATGGTGGAGGAAGGAACTGACGCCTGCAAGTTGTCCTTTGACCGCCACATGCAAATCATGGCATCTCTGCCTCCGCCACAAATAAATAAATGTAATATAGTTTTTTAAAAATATTAATGGGAGCTGGAGAGATGGCTCAGCAGTTAAGAACACTGACTGTTCTTGCTGAAGACCCGGGTTCAAATTCCAGCACCCACATGGCAGCTAACAACTGTCCTAACTCCAGTTCCAGGGGATCCGACAGCCTCTTCTGTCCTCTGCAGACATTGCACTTACCTACACACCTACACGCAGGCAATACATGCATACACATAAAATTAAAATAATAAATAAAAAATAAAAGAAGTTAAAAAAATAAAGATTTTGAGAAATCTGTCAATGACAGTGGCACCCTGAGATTACATCACACCTGCTAATCAGTCTTAGTGTGTGTGAGGACACCCTTTGATGCTCACGTAGTGATGAACTCATCTCTCTGCATGGTTCTGTCACTCAGGTATTGACGTGTGAATATGGCATCATAGCTACCACACATACTGCTTGCTGAGTTCCTGTGGGGTCAAGTTAGCATTTGACCTTAGCTCCTTTTGGTCAGAAGGACTTCTTAGCACTTGTGAGGCAGGTCTGCAGTTTTCCTAAGTCCTTTTCATCAGAGAATGTCTTTTTATTAAAGTTTGATATTTTATTCTTTGAGAATTTCATTTTATATACATATATATATTGGTCTTTTTGAGACAGGGTCTCCCTGTAGCCCCAGCTGTCCTGGAACTCACTATGTAGACCAGGCTGGCCTTGAATTCACAGAGATCTGCCTGCCTCTGCCTCCCGAGTGCTGGGATTAAAGGTGTGTGCCACCACACCCAGCATATATACAATATATTTTGATCAGATTCACTCCTGGTGCTCCCTCTAACTCCTCCTACATCCACCACCCCCATCCTCTCCCCCTAACTCCTCCTACATCCACTACTCCCATCCTCTCCCTCTAACTCCTCCTACATCCACTACCCCCATCCTCTCCCCCTAGCTCCTCCTACATCCACTACCCCCATCCTCTCCCCCTAACTCCTCCTACATCCACTACCCCCATCCTCTCCCCCTAACTCCTCCTATATCTACTACCCCCATCCTCTCCCAATTTTGTATCATCTTTTTTAATAACCCACTGAATCTAATTTGTGCTGCCCTTATGCTTGTGGTTTCTACTATCCACAGGAGCGTGGTAGACCTACCAGGGGTCACACTCTTGAAGAACACTAACATTTCCTCCCCCACAGCCATTAACTTCTGAGTCAGTAGCTCCTCGGATAGGGATGGGGACTCATGCTGCAATGTTGACTGGTTTGATCTCTGCAGGTCTTGAACAGGCAACCACGGCTGCTGTGAATTCACGCGTTCAACAGTCCTGTCATGTCTAGAAATCACTGTCTCACGCTAGTCCTCCCTGACATCCAGCTCTTATAATCTTTCTCCTCCCCTCTTCTGTGATAGCCCCTGAGCCTTAGGGGATGGGGGTGTGTTACAGATGTCTCATTTGTTGCTAAACATATCACAGACACTTATTCTCTGCACTTTGACCAGTTGTGAATTTCTGTGTTAACTGGTGTCCACTGGAATCTGCTCTGGTGAGGTCTGAGAGCTGTACTAATCTATGGGCATAGAGATATAAATTTAGAGGATGGTTTGATACTGTGTCCACTTAGTAGAATAATAGGTTCATCCCCTGGGGCCTGTGAGCTCCTCAGCCATGGGCTCTTGGCCAGAGTCACAGTACCAGACATGTGTTTCCTCCAGTCAGAAAGCAGTTGGTTGTCCCCATAACATTGATGCCACTATTGTATCCATGTGAATATCTTGCCACACTGGTCATTTTAATGGAATGCCTTTTGCCTGTATTTGAAGGATTGCTTACTGGGCATCAAGTTCTTGACTGATACCTTTTTTTCTTTCAGTGCTTAGGATATACTGTTCCATCCTCTGATTTCCACATTTCTCTCTTTAATTTTGAGTATTACTTTGAGTCACGGTCTTGATGTGTTACCTAGACTTGAACTTTCAATCCTTTCACCTCGGTCCCTAATGACTGCAGGCCAAGCTCTTTTTCTTTTGTATTTTCTTCCTTTTGTGTGTGTGTGTATGTGCACACGTGCACGCATACATGCCCATTTCACAGCGCTCATGTGGAGGTCAGAGGGTAACTAGTGGAAATCGGTTCTCTCCTTCCACCGTGTGAGTCCTGGGGTTGAACTCAGGTCGAAGCTCTTTTTCTTTTGTATTTTCTTCCTTTTGTGTGTGTGTGTATGTGCACATGTGCACGCATACATGCCCATTTCACAGTGCTCATGTGGAGGTCAGAGGGTAACTACTCCTTCCACCGTGTGGGTCCTGGGGTTGAACTCAGGTCGTCAGGCTGGGCGGCCGGCCCCAGACATGGTCCTTGTTGTCAGTCATGATTCTGTAACTTTACATGCGTTGGGTTGCTTTCTCACAAGAGTTTTGACCTTGGTGCATTCCATGCGGATCCCTTTGTGTTTCTCCTGCTCGGAATTTGTCAAGCTCCTTGGACCTGTCTGCTGGTTCCAACTGTTGCTTCCTAACTGCAGCCAGTTTTTTGACCTCTTTCTCTGATACTACGGGTTGTCCTGCAGGTTGCGGAGGCCCTGCCCTGCTCCTCTTCAGATTCCCCTCCTGTTCTTCAAACCGGTGAATGAAGCCACAGTTTGCAACACCTTCAGGCTCCTCTCATCTGCTCTTGAGTTCCTCTAGAACACGCTCCACTCCAGAATTTTCTCTTGGCTTTTAAAAAAGAAGTTCAATTTATTTTTATTTGAGATAAGGTAACATATTCTAGGCTGGCCTGAAACTCGCTATGTAGCCCAGGATGGCCTTGAACTCCTTGTCCTCCTGCTTTTACTTCCCAAACACTGGGTGTGCTGGATGCTTTAGTGTCAACTTGACACACCTGGGGTGAGGGAGCCTCAGTTGGGAAATTGCCTCTATTGGACTGGCCTGTGGCCATGTCTGAGGGGTGATGTGGGAGGGCCCAGCCCACTGTAGGTGGTGCCACCCCTGGGCAGGTGGGCCTGTGTTGTATAAGAAAGCAGGCTGAGCAGGGGCCAGGGGAGCAAGCCAGTAAGCAGCATTCCTCCATGGCCTGTGCTCCAGCTCCTGCCTCCAGGTTCCTGCCCTGAGTTCCTACCTTGGGCTCCTGGATGAACTGTGACCTGGGAGATGTAAGCTGAATAAACCCTTTCCTCCCCAAATTGGTATTGGTCAGAGTGTTTTGTCACAGCAATGAAGAGAACAAACCAGAACACTGGGGTTGCAGGTGTGAACTGCCACACAGGGTCTTGCAGTGCTGGAGACAGAACCCAGGCTTTGTGCCTGTGGGGCAAGCGCTCTACCAACTTAGCTCTATCTCCAGCCCCCAACAAGCTCTTCATGAGCGCATGTCATTCTTTTGCTTAGTGTTTGGATATATTTTCAACAGTGAGTTGCTTTGCGGTCTGCGTTAAACTGGACATCTGCGGCTTCCATCTGCCACTTTGCTCTTCAGTGTGGATTGTGCCTTTTGTTTCTTTTTTATTACCTATGATTTTTGGATGGACATTTAAGGGAATATATTGTAGCAACTTTGGATGCCAAATTCAAGTTCAGTGGTGTTACTGTTTGTGTGTTTCTTTTGTGGGGGGGAGTCTTTTTGAGACTGGGTCTCCTTGTAGCTCCAGCTGACCTGGAACTCATTATGTAGACCAGGCTGGCCTCGAACTCACAGAGATCCTCTTGCCTCTGCCTCCCAAGTGCTGGGACTAAAGGCATGCGCCACCACACCCAGCTGTTTGTGTTTCTTTCTTGAATTAAATTTGCAAGTTTATATGCTCTCTGAACCCCCCTCCCAAATTCCACCCTACTGCTCTCCTACCAATGCTCCCAACCCAAGGGTCTCAGGGTCTTCCCTCAGGCCCGTGACCACCCCACGTTCCCTGTTGTCCTGTGTCTACCCTGTAGTAGCCTACCACCCTCTTGTCACTAACAGCTTCTTTCTCTGCAGTGTCTGGTCGACAGCTGCAGCCGCAGGAACCGGAGGCCGAGACTGAAGAGGACTTCTCTGTGAGTGTTACTCCAAGAGGAAGCCCATCCTCCTCAGACTCACCCAACCCCCCCACCTCAGTCTAGAAAGTGGCTGGTGGTAACTTGATTCTCTTTTGCCAGGTGACTGAAGGGCCTGTGGAGGAGATCATTCGACCAAGGCCACAGGGATCATCGCCTGTCTACGAATGCAAGGCTGAGGGTGCCGGCTTTGGAGCCCAGGTAAGCCTGCTGGACGGCCACTGGCAGAGGGAAAGCTCAGGTGTGACTGACACCTGCTGTCACCTGCTCACTGGTATCTGTTTAGGTTGCTGTGCCCATTCGGTCTTCCCCTCTGTCTCCATCGTCCCTCACTTCAGCCACGTCACCGTGGAGGTGGGGATACCTGTGGCTCACGTGTGGTTGTGTTTGGGGGTAGGCAGGTCCTCCCCTGTGGATGTGTGGGCAGGCCATCTCACACATCCTCCCATGTGTGGGATGTGACAGGGATAAACACCTGCATGGTATGCACAGACACACACATGTACACATGCACTTGTACACGCATGCCATCCTTGGGGAGGAGACCTTAGGACCTCTTTGTAAGAGGAAACAGAGCAGTGATCAGAGGAGGCCTGTCTACTTAAGGACTCATTTTTCACTCTGTTTGAAAGTCTTCTCTACTCTGAAGTACCTCTACTTGCTGCAGGGCGTAAGAGTGGTCCCTAGTGAGATTGGCAGTTACCATGCCCGGTGAGGTTCCTGTGCCCCTGCACCCTTGGCTCTCCTGGCTGGAGCCTCCCTGGCACTTCTGTTCCCTGAGGGGCAGGCAGGCAGTAACTTCTGACCTTCTGGCTGTAGGAAGACAACCCAGGCAGGCGCGGTTCCTCTGGGAGACGAAGATCCTGGTGGAAACGGCATTCAGGGGATTCCACAGCTTTCTCCAACATGAGCCGTCCAGAGGTGGGTGCCATAGCATGAGGCGTCAGGAGCAACCCTACCCTAACCCTGGGGTCTCCAACCAGAGGAGGGGGAGGGAGATACATGCCCCTGCACCCTGGGGAGGGTGTCCCTGTGCCCCTTAGGCTTGGGAGGGGCAGATGTAGAGGCTAGCCTCCACCCTCTCATGGAGAGAGCCTGACTCCTGGCTGGCATATGTACACCCATGCCCCACTGTGCAACACTGCGCAGCTTGGTGCACAGGCTGTGGGGAGGAAGGGCTTTGGCCAAGGGAGATGTGAGGTTCAGTGGGTACCCAGCAAGGGACACTCTGCCTCTGTGGATTTTTCTGGGCTGTCTCAGGGGATGGCCTGCAGAGTCAGGAGGCTGCGGGGTTTCCTGTGTGTTCTTCAGTGTTTCTGTCCCTACTGGTCGGTTCCACCACTGATGCCTCGCATGGGATGGGTGCTACAACGCATCTGTGATGAACAAAGGATCAGAGACAGGAAAGCTGTCAAGAGCCACTTACCTTGGAGCTAAGCCTCCACAGACAGGCTGTTACTGAGGCCTGTGGCAACAGAGTGGGATGATTCCACTAGAGTTTACCTATACCTGGGCTTTCTCCAAACCCTATACACAATAGCCTGGCCCACCTGGCTGGTGCCCCTACCTCTGCCCAGGCGGCATGGATCACCACCCTTGGGAGATGCAGTAATGTCCGTGGTGGCCCACAGGCAAACACTCATCAGGTCCTGACATGCTTCTGTCCCAGTCTGTGCAGGAGGCAACGGAGGTGACACTGAAGACTGAGGTGGAGGCAGGAGCCAGTGGCTACAGTGTCACAGGTGGAGACAAGGGGATCTTTGTCAAGCAAGTGCTGAAGGACTCCTCGGCCGCAAAGCTGTTCAGCCTGAGAGAAGGTACACACAGCTGCCTCATCCCTGGAGGCTCCAGCAGCAGCACCAGGATGCGTGGGTATATGGAGGAATGTGCAGGGGATGGACCTCACCTGGGGCCAGGGATGACCTCGAGGTCTTTGCTCAGCCAATCTAGGCTGTCCGCTGCACCCTGATTTCCTGCCTGCTTTGCTTGATGTCACTACTGGGGGTCTGGACACATGCTATAGGCTTTCCCTTTGTGAAACTGCAGTCCCACCAAGATGGGACCTGGGATACTAAGCCTGGCTGCCCCTTCTTCCTGTAGGAGACCAGCTGATCAGTGCAACCATATTCTTTGACCACATGAAATATGAAGATGCTCTCAAAATCCTTCAGTACTCAGAGCCATACAAAGTTCAGTTCGAAATCAAACGGAAGCTCCCTGCCAGCGAGGAAGAATGGGCCATCCATCATCCTCAGCAAGGCCCAAAGGGCCAGGAGAAGCAGGTAAGGCTGTGCTCAGTGAGCCCTGAGGTGGCCCCAGCCACACTACCAACCCCTGCCCCACAACCATGATCTTGGGCTCCTGTACCCTCACCAAATGGCTCCTTCTCCCTTTCTCAGGACAAGGATGATGCTGATGGGTGCATGGAGACCCCCACAAAGACTCTAGAGGCAGATGGAGACCAAGAGAGGCTTATTTCTCAGCCCATGGAGAGTCGTGGGAGAAGGCCCCAGGAAAGACTCTCTTGGCCAAAATTTCAGTCCATAAGGAGCAAGCAGGGACTGGGCCCCCGACGATCACACAGTTCCTCAGAGGCCTCAGAGCACAGGCATGGGCCTTATATGTCCCCCACAAGCACAGACACAGAGGCCCAGCTGCCACCTGAGAGTCAGAAGCAGAAGAAGGAAGGGTCAGGCAGCCGAAGAAGAAAGTTTCTGAACTTGAGATTTGGGATGGCCTCAGGGCAGGGCCAGATTGCAACTAGACTAACAGGCACAGAGTCTCAGGGAAAACCAGGTCCTGCAGAGGTGCTCGAGGACTCACAGCCCAGAGAGGTTAAGTCAGAGAGCACAGAGGTGGCAATCAGGACCAGGAGAAAGGATACGCCACAGACTCCAGGACTCATGACCATGCAGGTGACCACACAGGACTCCAGCCACACAAACCTTGGTAAAGGAACCCCTGGAGAAGTGACAGTCAGGACAGACAGGCGCCAAAGGAAGACAAAGGAATTGAAGAAGCAGGAGACTGAGAAGGTGGTCAGCCAGTCCAGAGCAGAGGCAGACGCAGGAGCAACCTGGGAGGACGAATGGGAGGAAGTCCACTGTCTGGAAATTGGGATTGCAAAATTGTCTCTGAGAGACAAACCGGAGCAGGACAGCACACAGGTCTCAGTAAACGTCTTGAAGACAACAGACATTGGATTTGATGAGGAAAAGATGACACACATTCGAACAGAGGCCAAAGACGATGGAAAAAAGAAAAAGGAACAGGGATATACAATTGAAGAGGAAGGGACAGAAACGCAGGAACAAGGACAATCATGCCACTCAGCAAAAGAACAAACACCACCTGACAAAAAAGAGAGGAAAGGGAGACGGGAGGAGGGAAAGAAAATGGAAGACGAAGAAGAGGAGAAAGAGAGAGGACAGGCCAGGGTAAAGATACCCAGATTCAAAATGCCAAACTTTGGATGGTCCCCAACTAAAGAAGTCAAAACACGAGGAAAAAATGAAACAAAAGGAATAGAAAAAGGAACAGAAGATGGAGAAAAAGAAAACGCAGAAAAAATAGCAATACAGGTGGATGGAAAGAAACTGGAGGAGAGAGGGGAAGAATCATCAGACAGAGGAGGGAACAGGACAGAGCCCAGAGACATAGTAAACACAGACCAGAACATAACTGAAGGTCATGTTGAACTGGACAACAAGGACAGCAAATTCAGCTTCTCAGCACCTGGAAAGACCATCAAGGACTCACTGGAGGTGGTGGCAGCAAAGCCACAAACAGACACGGCCCTGCCCTGCATCCAGGGTGACCTGAAGACCGCTGATGTCAACATTCATCTGCCCTCCACTGACCTGGAGGGAAAGACCCGCCAGGTGGATATCAAGCTGCCGGTGGGCCAGCTGCCCGAGGGAGAGGTGGCCGCAAACGCAACCGTGGAAGCTGGCCTGAAGGATAACCTACCCAAGGTGCAGATGGCCAGCCTAAAGATGCCCAAAGTGGACCTCAAGGGACCCCAAGTGGACCTGAAGGGCCCCAAAGCCGAGGTGACCGCACCTGAGGTGGAGATGTCTCTGACTGGAGTGGAGGTGGATTTCAAGGCCCCCGGTGCCAAGCTGGAGGCGGACCTGGCCCTGGCCGACAGGGACACTGTGGCCACCAAAGAGAGCAAGTTCAAGATGCCCAAGTTCAAGATGCCCTCCTTTGGCATGTCGGCGCCTGGGAAGACAATCGAAGCCTCGCTGGAGGTCTTGGTACCGAAGCCGGGGGCAGACGTGGCTCTGCCCTCCATCCAGGGTGACCTGAAGACCCCTGACGTCAGCATTCAGCTGCCCTCCTCCGACCTGGAGGTGGGTGTCAAGCTGCCCGAGGGAGAGCTGCCCGCACCCGCGGCCATGGAAGCCGGCCTGAAGGATCACCTACCCAAGGTGCAGATGCCCAGCCTAAAGATGCCCAAAGGGGACCTCAGGGGTCTCCAAGTGGACCTGAAGGGTCCCAAAGCCGAGATGACCACGCCTGAGGTGGAGATGTCTCTTCCCGGAGTGGAGGTGGACATCCAGGAACCTGGTGCCAAGCTGGAGGGGGACCTGGCCCTGGCCGACAGGGACACCGTGGCCACCAAAGACAGCAAGTTCAAGATACCCAAGTTCAAGATGCCATCATTCAGCATGCTGGGGCCCGGGAAGGCCACCGAGGCCTCACTGGAGGTGATGGCGCCAAAGGCGGAGTCCGACGTGGACGTTCCCTCCATCCAGAGCGACCTGAAGACCCCTGACATCAGCATTCAGCTGACCTCCGCCGACCTGGAGGGCAAGGCCAGCCTGGTGGACGACAAACTGCCTGAGGGCCAGCTGCCCGAAGGTGAGCTACCAGCTCCCGCTGCCGTGGGATGTGGCCTGAAGGGGCACCTGCCCAAGGTGCAGATGCCCAGGGTCAGGATGCCCAAAGTGGACTTCAAGGGCCCCCAGGTGGACCTGAAGGGTGCCAAGGTGGACTTGAAAGACCCCAAGGCCGAGGTGACCACGACAGAGATCGAGATGCCCCTGCCCGGCGTGGAGGTGGACATCCAGGCCCCTGGTACAAAGCTGGAGCAGGACCAGGCCTTGACTGAGAAGGATGCTGTGGCCTCCAAAGACAGCAGGTTCAAGATGCCCAAGTTCAAGATGCCCTCCTTTGGCGAGTCGGCGACTGGGAAGACCATCGAAGCCTCGCTGGAGGTCTCGGCACCGAAGCCGGGGGCGGACGTGGCCCTGCCCTCCATCCAGGGTGACCTGAAGACCCCTGACGTCAGCATTCAGCTGCCCTCTGCAGACCTGGAGGTGGGCATCAAGCTGACGGAGGGCCAGCTGCCCGAGAGACAGCTGCCCACACCTGCAGCTATGGAAGCCGGCCTGAAGGATCACCTACCCAAGGTGCAGATGCCCAGCGTCAGGATGCCCAAAGTGGACCTCAAGGGCCCCAAAGCTGAGGTGACCGCGCCTGACGTGGAGATGTCTCTGCCCGGAGTCGATGTGGACATCCAGGCCCCCGGTGCCAAGTTGGAGGCGGATCTGACCCTGGCCAACAATGATGCCTCGTCCAACAAAGACAGCAGGTTCAAGATGCCCAAGTTCAAGATGCCCTCCTTCGGTGTGTCAGCGCCCGGGAAGACCATTGAAGCCTCACTGGAAGTCTCGGAACCGAAGCCGGGGGCAGACATGGCACTGCCCTCCATCCAGGGAGACCTGAAGACCCCTGATGTCAGCAATCAGCTGACCTCCGCCAACCTGGAGGGCAAGGCCGGCCAGATGGATGTCAAACTGCCGGAGGGCCAGCTGCCCGAGGGTGAGCTACCGGATCCTGCTCCCGCGGGACCCAGCCTGAAGGGCCACCTGCCCAAGGTGTTAATGCCCAGCCTCAAGATGCCCAAAGTGGACCTCAAGGGCCCCCGGGTGGACCTGAAGTGCGCCAAAGTGGACGTGAAGGGCCCCAAGGCCGAGGTGACTGTGCCTGAGATGGAACTGTCCCTGCCCAGGTCGGAGGTGGAAATCCAGGCCCCCAGTGCCAAGCTGGAAGGGGACCTGGCGCTGGCCGACAATGAAGCCTTGTCCACCAAAAACAGCAAGTTCAAGATGTCCAAGTTCAAGATGCCCTCCTTCGGCATGTTGGCTCCCGGGACAACCATCGAAGCCTCGCTGGAGGTCTTAGCACCGAAGCCGGGTACGGACGTGGTGCTGCCCTCCGTCCAAGTCGACCTGAAGACCCCTGACTTCAGCATTCAGCTGCCCTCCGCCGACCTGGAGGGCAAGGCTGGCAAGGTGGATGTCAAACTGCCAGAGGGCCAGCTGCCCGAGGGTGAGCTACCAGTTCCCACTGCCACAGGACCTGGCCTGAATGGGCACCTGCCCAAGGTGCAGATGCCCAGCGTCAGGATGCCCAAAGTGGACCTCAAGGCCACCCAGGTGGACCTAAAGGGCTCCAAGGTGGACCTCAAAGGCCGCAAGGCCGAGGTGACTGCGACAGAGTTCGAGGTGGCCCTGCCCGGTGTGGAGGTAGACATCCAGGCCCCTGGTGCAAAGCTGGTGCGGGACGAGGACTTGGCTGAGAAGGCCGCCGTGGCTGCCAAAGACAGCAAGTTCAAGATGCCCAAGTTCGAGATGCCCTCATTCAGCGTGTCGGCGCCCAGGAAGACCATCAAGGCCTCGCTGGAGGTCTCAGCACTGAAGCCGGGGGCGGACATGGCCCTGCCCTCCATACAGGGTCACCTGAAGACCCCTGACATCAGCATTCAGCTGCCCTCCGCCGACCTGGAGGTGGGCGTCAAGCTTCCGGAGGGCCAGCTGCCCACACCCACAGCTGTGGAAGCCGGCCTGAAGGATCACCTACCCAAGGTGCAGATGGCCAGCCTAAAGATGACCAAAGTGGACCTAAAGAGCCCCCAAGTGGACCTGAAGGGTCGGAAAGCCGAGGTGACTGCGCCCGAGATGGAGATGTCTCTGCCTGGACTGGAGGCAGACATCCAGGCCCCCAGTGCCAAACTGGAGGCGGACCTGGCCCTGGCCGACAGGGACGATGTGGCCACCAAAGACAGCAAGCTCAAGATCCCCAAGTTCAAGATGCCATCATTCAGCGTGTCGGTGCCCAGGAAGAACCTCGAAGCCTCGCTGGCGGTCTCGGCACCAAAGCCGGAGGCAGACGTGGGCCATCCCTCCATCCAGGGTGACATGAAGACCCCTGACATCAGCGTTCAGTTGCCCTCCACCGAGCTGGAGGGCAAGGCCAGCCAGGTGGACGTCAGGCTGCCGGAGGGAGAGCTGCCCGCACCCGATGCGGCGGGACCCGGCCTGAAGGGGCACTTGCCCAAGGTGCAGATGCCCAGCCTCAAGATGCCCAAAGTGGACCTCAAGGGCCCCCAAGTGGCCCTGAAGGGCGCCAAGGTGGACGTGAAGGGCCCCAAGGCCGAGGTGACCACGCCCAAGATGGAGCTGACCCTGCCCGGTGCAGAAGTGGAAATCCAGGCCCCTGGTGCCAAGCTGGAAGGGGACCCAGCGCTGGCTGACAACGACAACTTGGCCACCAAAGACAGCAAGTTCAAGATGCCCAAGTTCAAGATGCCCTCCTTTGGTGTGTCAGCGCCCGGGAAGACCATCGAAGCCTCACTGGAGGTCTTGGCACCAAAGCCGGGGGCGGACGTGGCCCTGCCCTCCATCCAGGGTGACCTGAAGACCCCTGATGTCAGCATTCAGCTGCCCTCCGCTGACCTGGAGGTGGGCGTCAACCTGCCCAAGGGAGAGATGCGTGCACCCGTGGCCATGGAAGCCGGCCTGAAGGATCACCTACCCAAGGTGCAGATGCCTAGCCTAAGGATGCCCAAAGTGGACTTCAAGGGACCCCAAGTGGACCTGAAGGCCCCCAAAGCTGAGGTGACCACACCCGAGGTGGAGATGTGTCTGTCGGAAGTGGAGGTGGACATCCAGGCCCCCAGTGCCAAGATGGAGGGGGACCTGGCCCTGGCCGACAGGGACACCGTGGCCACCAAAGACAGCAAGTTCAAGATGCCCAAGTTCAAGATGTCCTCATTCGGCATGCCGGGGCCCACGAAGGCCACCGAGGCATCACTGGAGGTGACTGTGCCAAAGCCAAAGTCCGACGTGGACGTTCCCTCCATCCAGAGCGACCTGAAGACCCCTGACATCAGCATTCAGCTGACCTCCTCCATCCTGGAGGGCAAGGCCGGCCAGGTGGATGTCAAACTGCCTGAGGGCCAGCTGACCGAGGGTGAGCTACCAGCTCCAGATGGCGTGGAACGCGGCCTGAAGGGGCACCTGCCCAAGGTGCAGACACCCAGTTTCAGGATGCCCAAAGTGGACTTCAAGGGCTCCCATGTAGACCTGAAGGGTGCCAAGGTGGATGTGAAAGGCCCCAAGGCCGAGGTGACCACAACAGAAATCGAGGTGCCCCTGCCCGGCGTGGAGGTAGACATCCAGGCCCCCGGTGCAAAGCTGGTGCGGGACCAGGCCTTGGCTGAGAAGGACACCGTGGCTGCCAAAGACAGCAGGCTCAAGATGCCCAAGTTCAAGATGCCCTCCTTCGGCGTGTCAGCGCCTGGGAAGACCATCGAGGCCTCACTGGAGGTCTCGGTACCAAAGCTGGGGGTGGACATGGCCCTGCCCTCCATCCAGGGTGACCTGAAAACCTCTGATGTCAGCATTCAGCTGACATCCACTGACCTGGATGTGGGTGTCAAGCTGCCGGAGGGCCAGCTGCCCAAGGGTGAGCTACCAGATCCCGCTGCCGCGGGACCCGGCCTGAAGGGGCACCTGCCCAAGGTGGAGATGCCCAGCCTCAAGATGCCCAAAGTGGACCTCAAGGGCCCCCAGGTGGACCTGAAGGGCGCCAAGGTGGACGTGAAGGGCCCGAAGGCCGAGGTGACGGCACCTGAGATGGAGCTTTCCCTGCCAGGCACGGAAGTGGAAATCCAGGTCCCCGGTGCCAAACTGAAAGGGGACCCGGCGCTGGCCGAGAATGACGCCTTGGCAGCCAAAGACAGCAAGTTTAAGATGCCCAAGTTCAAGATGCCCTCCTTCGGCGTGTCGGTGCCCGGGAAGACCATCGAAGCCTCGCTTGATGTCTCGGCACCAAAGCCGGGGTTGGACGTGGCCCTGCCCTCCATCCAGGGTGACCTGAAGACCCCTGACATCAGCATTCAGCTGCCCTCCGCCGACCTGGAGGTGGGCGTCAAGCTTCCGGAGGGCCAGCTGCCCACACCCACAGCTGTGGAAGCCGGCCTGAAGGATCACCTACCCAAGGTGCAGATGGCCAGCCTAAAGATGACCAAAGTGGACCTAAAGAGCCCCCAAGTGGACCTGAAGGGTCGGAAAGCCGAGGTGACTGCGCCCGAGATGGAGATGTCTCTGCCTGGACTGGAGGCAGACATCCAGGCCCCCAGTGCCAAACTGGAGGCGGACCTGGCCCTGGCCGACAGGGACGATGTGGCCACCAAAGACAGCAAGCTCAAGATCCCCAAGTTCAAGATGCCATCATTCAGCGTGTCGGTGCCCAGGAAGAACCTCGAAGCCTCGCTGGCGGTCTCGGCACCAAAGCCGGAGGCAGACGTGGGCCATCCCTCCATCCAGGGTGACATGAAGACCCCTGACATCAGCGTTCAGTTGCCCTCCACCGAGCTGGAGGGCAAGGCCAGCCAGGTGGACGTCAGGCTGCCGGAGGGAGAGCTGCCCGCACCCGATGCGGCGGGACCCGGCCTGAAGGGGCACTTGCCCAAGGTGCAGATGCCCAGCCTCAAGATGCCCAAAGTGGACCTCAAGGGCCCCCAGGTGGACCTGAAGGGAGCCAAGGTGGATGTGAAGGGTCCCAAGGCCGAGGTGACCGCGCCTGAGATGGAACTGTCCCTGCCCAGGGCGGAAGTTGAAATCCAGGTCCCCGGTGCCAAGCCAGAATGGGACCTGGCGCTGGCCGACAACAACGCCTTATCCGCCAAAGACAGCAAGTTCAAGATGCCCAAGTTCAAGATGCAATCCTTCCACGTGTCGGCGCCCGGGACGACCATCGAAGCCTCGCTAGAGGTCTCGGCTCCGAAGCCGGGGGTGGACGTGGCACTGCCCTCTGTCCAGGTCGACCTGAAGACCCCTGACCTCAGCATTCAGCTGCCCTCTGCCGACCTGGAGAGCAAAGCCGGCCAGGTAGATGTCAAACTGCCGGAGGGTCAGCTGCCCGAGGGTGAGCTGCCAGCTCCCGCTACCGCGGGACCCGACCTGAAAGGGGACCTGCCCAAGGTGCAGATGCCCAATGTCAGGATGCCCAAAGTGGACCTCAAGTGCCCCCGTGAGGACCTGAAGGGCGCCAAGGTGGACCTGAAAGGCCCCAAGGCCAAGGTGACCATGACAGAGCTCGAGGTGACCGTGCCCAGCGTGGAGGTGGATATCCAGGGCCCCGGTGCAAAGCTGGTGCGGGACCAGGCCTTGGCCGAGAAGGACGCCGTGGCCGCCAAAGACAGCAAGTTCAAAATGCCTAAGTTCAAGATGCCCTCATTCGGTGTGTCGGCGCCCGGGAAGACCATCGAAGCCTCGCTGGAGGTGTCGGCTCAGAAGGCGGGGGCGGACGTGGTGCTGCCCTCCATCGAGGGTGACCTGAAGACCCCTGACCTCAGCATTCAGCTGCCCTCTGCTGACCTGGACGGCAAGGCTGGCCAGGTGGATGTCAAACTGCCAGAGGGCCAGTTGCCCACACCCCCGGCTGTGGAAGCTGGCCTGAAGGATCACCCACCCAAGGTGCTGAAGCCCAGCCTCAAGATGCCCAAAGTGGACCTCAAGGGACCCCAAGTGGACCTGAAGGGCCCCAAAGCTGAGGTGACCACACCCATGGTGGAGATGTCTCTGCCCGGAGTGGAGCCGGACATCCAGGCCCCCGGTGCCAAGCTGGAGGCGGACCTGGCCCTGGCCGACAGGGACACTGTGGCCGCCAAAGACAACAAGTTCAAGATGCCCAAGTTCAAGATGCCCTCCTTCGGCGTGTC